TTGTGTCCAGTTTCAGGCATAAGGTTTTTTAAGGTAATAAAATATTTGAGGAATAATGTCAATATCGGATCTGAACAATATAAAACGCGGCTGCCACTGGCAGCGCACCACTGAGTGCACATACTCAATTGAAAGGATAGCAACTTTGAAATATTAATTATTATGGTCTTCATGGCCTTCTAAATATGTGTGACTATGTATATATATTTAAATATATAGCAGCAGTCCCTATAGCACTGACAAACTGTAGCCAACGTCGCGACGAAGCCCAATTTCATTAGACTATAATTTTTAATTGAAAAATGTATATCATTTCCAAAGCTAGCAACAGCACAGGCTTGCACACCATCATTTTTCCCTCACTGCGCCGAAAATTGCTTCAACGTTGTGGGTACCGTCGAGAGAAATCCATGAAAATATTTTGTAAGCAGATTTATAGTTTGCAAAAAATAATAATTATTTGCACAAGGCCAAAGGAGCACAGACGGAGACATATAACCCGACGGCAGCCAAGAGAGCTTGACAGCCACTCCAACCTCTGCTGGGCGATGCCATCCTCCACCACATGGACTCTAATAACTGTAACTCTATCAGATTGTGCCTCTGTTTCCCCCTGGTATTGCTGGTGCTTAATAAAGGCTTGGACGCAGATTAGTTTGTCATTTAATTATTTTTTGCCTTTGCATCCAGAACCAAAAAAGAACCAAGAAGAAAACGAGTTGGGCGTGGCCTAAGCCATTTTATGTGCTTGAGATTTATGTAAAAGAATTGATGTATCTACGTATGTATATACAAGATAGATATTTTGCACACTTTTCATTTAATTACATTAGTTTGCCAAAAATGATTAAATTTGTTGTTCCGAGCAAATTAACTTTGCCCTTAACGAATTGCGAAGGTAATCCCTGTGGATATTCTTTTATTTGGTTATGTTCCCAAGCCAGTCTATAAGATTCTATATTGGTGAGCCTCGATGTACTTGTTCACTGATATGATATGTTCCCAATCCAGATTAGAAGCTTATATATATATTTATTCACAGCTGTTAAAACTTTCGCTTAAGAATGAGATAAAGATGTAAACCAATAAGAAATATTGCTGGAAAAATACAAATAATTTGAACAAGTTTAGTTTTTTGAGAGAATTAGACCAAGTTCATTTCAATTCAATTCAACATTTGTTTTTTATTTTATTATATAATCTAAGCAAAATACTTTTAACTTACTTAGGAAATTCAGTACCGTAGCTGTGAAAGTCTAAAATTTCAAGTACAAATTTATTTCAACAAACGTCAAGAGTCTGATTTTGATAATACACAACGAAGTAGACGATGGGGTTGGGTTGGCCTGAGAGTGAAGCTCGGGCGTTGTCCAGTTGTCAGTTGTCAGTTGTCAGTTGTTGACGCCTATGGCCAGCAGCTGGTCAGCAGCTTGAACTGTCTAATTGTTTGGGCTCCTTTGTGACCTTTTTGAAGGTGTCAAACGCATTTGCTGCCAAAACTCCTCCGCCCCGGCACGTGCGTGACTTTGATGCCGTAACAAAGTAACATTTTATATTGAAGCTGCGTGTTTGGTAGCTGACCACTGACTTTCACACATGACCATTTGATGGGGGGATGATGGGGTTATGGCGATTTTCATTTTGCTTTTGTCAACAGTTGCCTTTTAATTTCACTTCATTTGCATTAAAAAAAAAGAGTAGCTGAAGCCACATACGCTGCTCTCTAATTGCTGTCAAAATTTGTTTGTTAAGTGTTGGCCGCCGCCCACAATGCCACACCCTAGGCCAAGCCACTGTTTGAGACCCAAATACAAATGGACATTTTTCAAACGGATGTTTTGACAATACCAGCGTGGAACGTGTGCTTTGTTTATTCTCGTTTCCATTAAGTGACAGTCTGACTGTTGAATAAATTCTCCACTCTTATATCAATAAGTCGTCAGTAATGTAGCATAAAATGATATCATAAACACAAATTACAGTCACAAAATAAAATTGTGTGAAAATAAAAAGGTCACAGAGAAAGCACAGGAATCTAATAACATTAATGACCACCAGAATCACTAGCAGGACTAGTCTCAAATCATTTTGCAAATCTAATGAGCCTCAACGGCATAAAAAAGACAAAATTACAAAAAAAAATCCGAAAAGAGAAAGAAAATTATATGTTTCTTGCTGAGAATTTCATATACTCTTCTTGTAATCAATATATTATTATTTATATTGTCAAATTGAAATTATATATATTTTCATTGAAAATACATATCAAATATACAAGTTACCAAAATAGAAAAAGAATCAGAAATGTAAACAATTTAGCGTCCTCTATTTCTATCATTAAGAACTCAATTTTGAATGTCCTGTTTCGTGAATAAGATTTTCGCATGCTTTTCTGATTGGGCATCTTAAGAAAATAATTATTATATTATTTTTCTTTTTAAATGGTGGGTTTTCCTGCATATTCCCTAATTCATGCAATAAATGTTAGACCATTTTGCGACCTAAAGAAATCAAAATATTACATTTTATTTTTAATTTTGTTTAATTTGTCTCTAAATTGTTGCATTTTTGCATTTATTGTATAATTAAGAAATAATAACAATAGTAAATATTTAAATGAATAATACGACTCTCCGTTAGAGTATCAAAAATAGGTTGGCGGCAAACATTTTGGTGTGCATGAAAGCATAAAGCGCGGAAATCGACAGCGCGTAGGTCGCAAACTGCAAACTGAGACTGGTCGATGTGGTGTTGTATGGTGTTTTCTGGGTTGGGGTTGGGGTTGGGGTGCAGTGCTGGGTCAGCTGTCGGTGGGGTGCGAAATCAGGAATTAAAACGTCTTAATGGTTCTATCTTCTTTATGGGCTGTCTGCTGTCTGTTGTCTGCATAGCACAGGGGTGGTTTGCTTTCGTCCTTCGGATTCTTCTTAGCTTGTCGGCTTAGAGACCCAGACCTGCATTTCTTTTTTGACGTCCAAGCGAAAAATGTTTTCGGTGACTTCTGTGAGTTAATTTGCATGTAAATTAAGCAACAAAATGATGCTGTCGTTTTTTTTTTTATTGCTCTAATGTTTCAATTAACACACTTAATTTCTATTTAAGCTTTAATGGGACAGGGTTGAGGGGTGGGCGATTGTTCTGTTTGTTGTATCAAAAAATTACCATACTCATTACACAAACAGTGTCCAATTTTGGAATCATACAAGTAAAATGTACAAAAAAAAACCAAGCGACTTAGCTGAACTAGTTTTCGTATATAAGCTACAAATATCAGCAATATATTAACATATTATTTTATTAAACTGAAAACTGCTATAAATTGAGATTTGCTGGAGCAAAAAGTGCATTTTAATTACCAGACCATAAATCTAGAATTAAATTGTTTAGGCATTAATTGGTTCAATTGTTAATTAATAGATTAATTAATAACTATGTTTGTTTTTCTATTATTTGTATTTTTGTGTGTAATGTTTTGTTCTGTGTTCTGTTTGTTGATTTGTTCGGTTGGATAATTTTAATTATTTTGCTGCCAAGTATTTTTGGATTGCATTTTTGATTAGAACGTGATATTTGCACGAATAAACAACAAAATAATTAAATGCATTCAAGCATTTTTAATTGCTTACGCCAATTTGCTGTTTAGGAAATGGCTGAAACAGTAGCTTGGCCCATCGAATCTGTTCACAAAAACACATATTCATATTTTATGTGCTATTTTGATTTGCTCAACTTATTGCTGGTTGGTTGCTGTTGCATTGTGTACAGGCCATAGGGTTATTATAATCGTTTAAACATTATATAGGTAAGCAGTAAGATTCGAAAAACTAGATTATAGTGATATTATTATGCAGCAAACTGTACAAATCCAGTTTATTCCATTTGTTGTTCAATGTGTCTAGGCTACAGTTAGGCATTCCTGTTGCCAACGCATACACTGAAAACAAATGTGAAAAATTTGTGTTCTTTTTGTATAGTTTTCTTCTTGCCTCTGCAGGAGCTTGCCATCAGCATTTTTTGTGCAATTCTGTTTAGAATCTGATGCCTATTAACTGTCATCAGGCAGAAAAGAGTATAATGTTGCTAAGTTTTGACGAGGGCGAGCAGCTAATAAATTCAAACTAATGTGAATCGACAAATGTTATTATTACAAGGCTTGTCTTTTGTTTGACTAACAATGCAATGGTAACAATTACGTGGAACACGTTCGAAGAAGAAACCCCCTGAAACATGCAAACAGAGTGTAAACAAAGGTGTCAGAGCATTTCTTAGTCCAACGGAAGCAAACAACCCAGCAAACAGTCAGACACAAAAAATATAAAAGCAGCAGCACTTTGACGGCAAACAGCGCCAACAGGAGCCAAAAGGATATCGCGTGCCAAAAATTCAGCATGTAAACACACAGCCCAGAAGACAATGGCATGCATACTGGAGACCATGTAAAAGCTTTCAGCATATCGCCACCTCGCCAACAACCAATTGCCCAACCATTCTCATTTCATCCCCCAAATGTGTGATATTGGGGAATGCTACGCTTTGATAGCTCGTGTTTCTGCTTTGTTTTATTTTTATTGTGATTTTATGTTAGTCGTTTTGTTTTGGCATATTGGCAAATATTAGTCTCATACTTGCCTAACAAATGGTATGCTTTTGTGTTGCATTTTTGTCGAATGTCGACTCAAATGGGACCATACTGCCAGATACACATATTTGTATACATATATATATATATATATATATGCATGTAGTTATGGGCTTATATCAACTGTGGAACTAGCTCATTTAGTTGGGATTGATGGTCATCAAGAATGTCGGTTTATGTTCACTTTTTAAGCATTTATTATGTTTTTTAAGTTGCTAATATCTTAAGTAATGTATTACTTAACTTTTCAAGTATTTATTATGTTTTTTAAGTTGCTAATATCTTAAGTAATATATTACTTGATTTACATAAGTTTTCTTCTTTCGCTTGTAGCTAAAAGAATAGATTAAAGTAAAACACATTTTTTTGTTAAAATATATAATTAGGCTTTATTGATAGAATAGTTTGTTTGTCATGAAATTGCTAATTATGCGCTTTGATTCGTAATATACTTAACAAAATAATTATTTATTATATTGGTCGTCCCCTTTTATTTTCAACTTTTCGCTCTTGGAAAACTGCAATAAAGAAAGAAATGAAATAATTATTAATTTGTCGTTTCAAAGTTTAAATATATATTATAATTTCTGTGATCTCCTAAAGAATACAAAATACTTCATTTTTTGATTATCATCAGCAGCCAAGTCGATTTAGGTATCCCCGTTCTATTCGAAGTAGTTTCTCTCTTTACAACATTATGAAACTTGTAAAATATCTTAATTTTTGCTGAATGTCGAAGGCAACTAATTCGAACCATTGTATTATATAGTAGCCAAATTAACAATCGATCGAACAATGAGTTCTTGTGGGAACAACAACTGCAATCATATGATTTTCTAAGGAATAACTGATCAGTTATTTACTTTATAGTGAAATATACATGTCGGCAGTTTAACTTCCGCAAGGGTATATAATCTTCGGAGTGCCTAATATAAGCATTAATTTATTATTTTTAATTTTATGTAACACAACAGTATAACCATGTCAGTAGCAATATGTTAGGCATTATGATTTATTTAAGTAATCTACAGGTCATGCCTAGAGCTAACAAATCATATTTCAAGTCAACGCTGACAGCTGCAATTTTTCCACTAAGAAGTCATGCAACATTTGTTCATTTAAAATGTGCATACATCTTTAAGGCTCAGTCCCACGCAGACCGAATGCAACCAATCCCAACGAAATCACATTGGACACCAGTGCTTGCCCCTCGACGAAAACCGAATCAATTAAATTCAATTAAATGCGTAAAACCACAAACCAAGTGCATAGGCGTTTAACCAAAGGAGGAGTCTCGTTATAGCCAGGCTTGGCTCGGGTCCATTGTTATGCTGTTGGACAAGCAGGCAGTGCTTAGCTGTCAATCTTATTCTAATTGAAATGCGCACACAGCCTCTGTGTCAGTTCACAAATTGAGTTTTACTGGCAAACAATTGAAACTGCAAGGTGCAGGGAGGCAACACTAAATCCTGGGTAACACTATCTAACAACATTTTCATTTGTAACTGCCGATTGCAGTTTATTGCTTAAGTGCAACACTAAATTCGACAAATATATATAATTAAAGGTTTATGATATACAGAAACAAAATTGTGACTTTTGTTGTAAATTATAAGTTTATACTTGTTGCGTAGAGAAGAAAAATAATCAATTAAATAAATCGAAAGAAATTTTCTGTTTTTTTAAAACAATCTTCTAAAAAGCTCAAATTACTGTCAGTTTGAAAATGGACAAAGACTCACTCTTTTTCAGGGGTTGACTAAAACTAAAAATAAATCCAGATAATTGGACGACTTTTAAATTTGCTTTCTGTTTACTTGCCCACAAAAATAAAAACATTTTGGCTGTAAGCAAGTGTTATAAAAATCAACAAGTTAACTGCATTGCCTGCACTTTGGGCTCATGCTCCTTATCCTGTCATTCACTTGAACCAGACGGCAGGACATTGTATTTGTTTGTTTCTCGAATTCTAATTGCACCACTTGACTTTTGTTTTGGACTGCCGGACAGTGAACTAGATCTAATCCTAGACACTGGATAATTGCTATGGGTTGCAGGAGTACGCCCAAATCGTTGCCATTGTTTTTCCAAGCAGTACATTTTTATTGTTAATTAATTAAAAAAGTTTTTGCACCTTTTTACATTAAATACTTTTTTTTATTTGTGCCGTTGGGCTAAAAATTTTAACAATTTGTATTTCGCACACGGCTTGGGTTTGGCGTGCCTTGTTAAAATATTTGAAAATATTTAAATTGACATTTTTTGTCATGTTACTTTTACTGGTTTGCATTTTTTGCTGCCCTGTTATGAATATGAACAATGTCAATTTGTCGGCAAAGTCGCCTCAAGGCAAAAAAAGGTTGACAGCACGATGATAATTTTTTCTGTTTCATATTGTACATATTTTGAAATCAGAGGGAAAAGTTCACATTTCAACAGGCGGACTTTAAAATTCCAGTCGCTGTCAACCTGCATGCCAAACACTTTAAGTTGCATTTGCAACATGCTGCTCATCCATACAACAACTAATCAAAACAAATTCAATTAAACGAGACAAAATTCGGGATGGCCAAGTGGTGGCCAGCCAGTCAACCAGGCTGCTGTCCAGTCCTGTCCGAGTCCCAGATCCAAGTCTAAGTCCCCAGCCGTTTGCATGCGTCTCTTATCTGGCAGCACAATCCATTAAAATTGCACATCGTTTACACCAAAAATCAATTCGCCAAAGCATTTAGGCATTACAAATGCCAAGCCAGCCACCGACTCTAGCCAGCCAGCCAGCCAGCCAGCCATACAAGTAGACAGCCAACACGGTACGGAACTCGTCGACAGAATCCACGCTCGGCCACCAGTTCACCAGTCAACCAGTCGCTGGCCCGCTTCAAAATGAAGCTTGATGCCCATAAATTTCGCATACGGCGTTTGTGTTTTTCGTTTGTTTTGTTCCTGATGCCGGCTGCTGGCTGCTGACTGCTGCTGCTGGCTGCTGGCTGTTGGCTGTTGCTGTTGTCGTCTGCCCTCTACAAAGCGATAAACGCAGCCTACACTCAGAAAAAAGTCCAAAAAACAGAACCGTAACATTAGTTTTTTTTATTTCTTGGAAAGCATTGGTACTTTATGGTCTGACATTTGCATACATTTTAGATAGCTTACAAATAAATTCATATTATTTTATGACGATTCAAGCGCGTGACTCCGCCTGACTCATCCTCTAAGTTAGAAAACAACTAATCTCTAATATGAAAGCCGAGTCAGTAAATTTCCTTACTTGTTTCTGAATTTTAGAAGGAAGTTTTTCTATCATTTCTTTAGATTTGTATAATTCTTTAGAATTTTTAGAAAAACTGACAAAAACAAACTTAAATTTTGTTGTGATTGTCGATTTAGTGTTCCTAATTTTTAGAAGATTTTTTCTTATATCTAGAAATTATTTCTAAAAACTAAAGAAAAACTTTCTAATTTTTGGTGCGATTGTTTTTCCAAGTGTACAAAGCGATAAGAGCAGCCTATAAGGCCGCAGTTCGTTCAGTTGGTATTGCTTTGAAATTAATCCGCCAGATATTCGAACATAGCTACGTTTGTGAATAAACCAGAGTCGTCTTTTAACTGTACGCTATGTTTGTTAGGATAGAACATTGGGTTTTGAATACAAATCGACTGCAAACATAAAAAGGCAATTAAAGTAGTGTCTTTTGGTTGTTAATATCATTATTAAATCTCTCTAGATATGGAGAAAGGCTTGAAGGCTTGTTTATTTTTATGCCGAATCTATAAGATATTTATTAATGTGACTACGACTACCTCAAATATGGTTTCTATTCAATAAATAAATAATAAATATAATTAGTCTGAACGAACACCACACTCAATGCCACCCCATCATCCATAGCTCCTATCAGTTGCACTTTAACATGTCGCACAACCAATAATGTCTATCTGACCGGAGAGAGAATCGCGAGTATGCCAGAGATGCATTTTCTGTAGTGTGGTCCTCCTCCCTTCCTGCGTTTCATTAGTGTCACCTCAAACAGCAAATTAAGATTAGAGTGCCGACGCCAACTGAAAGTGTGTGCGTAAGTTAAGCCCATGAGTTATAGCATGCATTAATGCGCAATAAAATGTGACTCAAACGCTGACTTCCAGCATATATTGATGTTGAGTAACACCCAGTTTGTGTTTGACACTGGCTGATATGGCTAAGTATTGACCAACGCACCAACACGATCGAACTAACATTTTTTGTTTAAGCTCAATATTATACTAAAGTACGTAAACAATTTCCTACAATGATAAAAATTAATAAATGAATGCCAAATTAAAATATATATATTTTTTTATTTATTTATTTCCAGTTGTTCCTGATATTTATGAGTTTTAGTTCCACATAAACAGTTCTAAATGCCAAATTAAAAAATACATATTTATTTTTGCTTCTAATTTTATTATTATTTATTGACGTTCGATTATCTAATTTGAACATCCAGTTGCGTTGAACATGTAATAGTCCTGACATTTATGAGTTGTCAGCACGCTGTTCACCCACTTCATTGCCATAAACGCTTCCCTTTTACCCCAATAACAAATGTCAAATGTGATTTACATAACGAATAATAAAAACAGGGCGAAGGCATATTTCCTGCGCGGTTGTCTGGCAAAGTTGGGGGCATTTTTTGTATCCATAACTGATAGCAATCTGAAGGCTGAAATCGTTGTTTTTGGTGCTCAGTGTAGTTCAGTTAACCTGCATAAATTACCTTATTTTGATTGTACAAAAACTGGGATTGTGTAACTTTCACTTACAATCTTTGCTTCGGCTGGAAAACTTAGGCATTATTAAATTTGACATGTTGCGCCCGTTTCCATTAATGGAACAGTAACAGATGAACAAACGCAAAGTTTTGTACATTTTTACGGAACATCCCTTGCTACAAATCACAAGATAAATTGTTTTTGTTCATGATTTATATATATTTATATATATATAAATGTGATTTTGCCTTTGCGGCAGTCCATCTCCCAAACCTACTCTGTGCGAGGGCATTACTTTCTCTTTCGCTTGTTATCGCCAGCGTTCAAAGAAAGCAACAAATATTAATATTGTTCATATATCTAGTAACTTTTTATTTCATTTTCAATGCAGGGTTGGCAACTGCAAATGTAATTTGTGAATTTAATATTGTGCGAAATGTGAATGAAAGCGGAGCTAAAATCGATAAACTTAATCTTGTTGTAAGACAGATAAACAAACATAAGCAGACGAATAAAATATGAGTTATAAGTTATTTTAGATATATCTGATTAAATTCTATAACAGATAATTATTTGATGAACAGATGCGAATTTGTACAATTTTATTTATTATTTTACATACTGCAATATTATTCAAAAAATCATATCAATTGGCTATTTAATTGTTACTTACTGTTTTGAAATTGATTTAGTTTAAAAAGTGTTGACCAGTTTTGAGCGATGCTCGAAAACCTTACGATTGAGCACTTCGATTAGTTTGCCAGGATCGTTGGGCTTGTTGCAATTTTCCTTGACAGCAAAATGATCGAGGTACTCATCCCGTTTGCAGTACAGGCAGACACCGTTGATAAATTCCTCCTCGCAGATCGTTGCATTGGTGGAGCGCATCCAGTCTTGGTTGCTGAGCTGCTTGAACAGATCGCCGATATAAATGCGTGCCGTGGGTATTGTGGAGAAGGCATTCAACGCAATAGTTGTTATGGGATTGTGCTCCAGATTCAGAACCAGAAGATTCTTAATTTTATCAAAGAGACCGCTGGCAAAGCGAAAACAGATAATAGATAAAGATTGTCGAACTGGAAGACTTTCAAGTTCACCTACCCCTGGATGCGATCCAGATTGTTGTGGGCCAGATGAATTTCGAGCAGCATTGGTGAGTGATGGAAAAGTTCATCCGGTAATCTGGCAATGTTGTTGCGCTCCAAGTGCAGCATTAGCAACTGCTTCTGCGCTTTGAGGAAATCCCTGCCAATGTAGCTGATATTGCTGCGAATGCCAATGTATGACAGATTCTCCGATTTCCAGAACAGCTCGGCTGGCACATTATCGCCACAGTTGTGGAGCTCAAAGCCGCGCAGTTTCGTCATGTGCCACAATTCCTTGGAGCTGAGCAAGGACATCTCCACACTGCTGTTCTTCAGCGAGCAGTCCAGGGATAGTTGCAATAACTCCGACTGCCTCGAGAATATCTCACTGGCCACGCTGGCCATGTTTCTAACAACAATTGATAGTCTTTTCAGCTTCGTTAGTGGATGCAGCAACGTGCCGGCTAAATCGCTTCTGCCCTTAAGCGTCAATTCCGTGATCTCCGTGACATTGTCCAAAAAGGTGGCAGGCAGCACAGCCTTAAAGCCAATTATAGACAGTTTTCTCAGGCCGGGATAATTTGTGAATCGCTGCTGCAGTAGCTCATCTCGCTCGTCGCGCGTCTCAAAGTAGTTGGAGATCTCCATCTCGGTGTAGTTGGTGATGCCCAGTCTCGAGAGCATGTGCCGAATGGTCTGTCCATTGGGTATGGCGCAGTTATCGATGCTCAGCCGTCCAATGTGGCCGGCCTTGAGCGGAGGCAGATAGCCAAAGCCGCGTGCATCGAAAATGCTACAGCTGATCCTGTACAGCTGCTTGGAGCTGCTCAGTGTAACCATGCCGCACTTGATGCGCTGATCCTGGCATTCGCATTCATTGTTGCCCTTAAGTATTGCCTCGCATCCCTCCTTGGTTGTGTAATACGCCGCGGCTTCCTCCTCAACGGAGATATTCTCCTGCAGGGTGGGCAGGAGCAGCTGTAGCAACAGGAACACCAGCAACATTCTCGTCTGCTGCCCCGACATCGACTGAACGCTGCAATGAGAAAGGCAGAAAGGTTTAACTGAATTTTGACCAGCAAATAAATTGACCTGCTACGCAGTATTTAAAGTCAGTCCAAGGACGTGTTTGTCCACTGCACCTCTCAGGTAACTACGAATTTCAATGGAAATGCATTGAGCTCTGGCCCTGGCTGCAATCAACACCCCTCGCTGCAATTCACATGCACTGATTTTGCCAGCTACCTGAAACTACACTGAGACAAAAAATCACCATGAAATTTTGTAAATAACGACGTAAACTCAAAATCGTCATAAACAGTTTTTCTTGTACAAAGTTGTTCTTGTTTATAGAAATAATTTCTACATATAAGAAAATATTTTATTTAAAATTAGAAATGCTTGCCTAAAATCTATATACCCAAAAAGTATGAAATATTTTCTATTATTGAGATTGCATTTCTAAAAGAATTGTACAACATGATTCTTGGAAGAAATTCTTTCTGAAATTTGGAAAATAGTAATGAAGTTTACTCTCTTGACTGGTATTTTGTATTTTAGCTGCTAAGTGCTGTGGAGTCCACGTAGCTCAGTGAGAAGTTACTCAACTCGGGAAGAAAGTGCTTCGGCTTCGGATACCCGGTTAAAGTCGTAATTTTTTCAGTGCTTTTAAATAATATGTGCAATCTAACAAAAACTAATATTTAATTATTAATATAAATAAAAAATACTATAATTTAAGATTTCTTTTTAAAGAAATTTGAACTTAGGAAACGCAAACCGTAGTTTTACAAAGTCCAATCTTCAATTTTAGTTTACTTTCTGAATACTACGGTGAGTGCGATTTTATTCATAGTGTAACAATCTGAGTTAAGGGCTAAAAATTTGCCGTCAAACCTGCCTAAATTGCAATTTAGCAGGCAACTCGCTTGAATTGGTCATTACGGCCTTTTTAAAGGCTCTTAAGTTGCTGGCTAAATGACTTCAGTTGCACCAAGTATGAACATAAACAGCAAATCAACAACTGACTGTTGTGAACTAAATTTTAAGTAATTGAGTTAAACAAACAAACACATTTTGGTGCTATCGAAGCTAAGGGAAATATCAGACCAATGTTGATAATTTGTAATTACAATAATAATTCTTGCATCATAAATATTTGTTTGATCATAAATATTTGTTAGGCATATTCTCCGGTCTGATTACTTTTTGACAGTGTTTCGATGGCAATCGACACGAGTTTTAAAATGGTTTCGAAAAATCATGTTCTTATCTTCCCACACTCATATCCAGCTAAAGTTCAATGCGCTTGCAATTTCGCTTAATATGAGAGCAAAGTCGGATCGGATCGTCTGTGTTTTTATTTTTGTGCTGAGATTGGCTGTGGCTTGATTATAAATATGGCTGCTTGGGCTAAAGAAAATTACATTTCATTCTGGTTTTCAGTTTCATTACAAATGCAAAAATGCAAAATGGCAAAATGGCAAGGCGGCCATTATCTTCATTCGGCTTTGTTGATCGATGATCGCTGGCAGACCGGCAGGACTATCCAGTCCAACTCCAACTCCAACTCCAAGTCGGAGATGGAGATGGAGAGGGAGAGGGAGACGTGGCCTGTTGAATCGTTTGAGGCGTTCATGCGTAAATGGCTTGCACACTTTTACGCAGTTGCATTCACATATCTGGCTAATGCATTTGAATTTGCAGCCGCCAGCCAAATGATCACATCGACATGAACCAATCAGCCAACCAGCCAGCCAGTCAGCCAGCCGGTCCACTTTTCTGCCTCGATCGCCTCGCTTGCCCCGCTTGCCTCGTTTCCTCTGCAACCCGCTTTCCGCTGCCAAGTCGGCTGCAGGCAGCACACGGTGGCAAACATTTTTTTTACGATTCGCTTGTGGTGCCTCTCGGATCGCCGTTCGTATTCCCAAGAGCTAAATCAATAAATTACGTGACAGGCATGCAGAAAACTTGGCTCCTCCATGGAAAGAGCGCACTCCAACGATCTTCGTTGCGTTCTGCTCATTTTGATTGAATCAATCAAAAATAAGCATTTATATTTTAAGGCAAAAGCGCCATATACATATTTATTTCTTGCAGATCTTTCGTATGCACATAACAATAAATTATTATTATGGCATGCCAATGATCAACCAGCACAAGAGATCACAGAAAGTGCTTTATCTTTCGGTATTAAACTTATTAAGTTTCCATTTGTACGATGCAAAAGAATTTCAAATGTAAATATGCATCAGGAAAAAAATGGCCTGAATTATAGAAGATCGCTCTAAAATGAAAGTCCCACTGAAAACTAGAAATAATTTCTAAAAATTACAAATGCTTGAAATCTTAAAGAACTAATTTTTAATAATCAAATAAAATAATACACATATGGAAAACATATTTGAAAATTAAGCATATTTAAAAAAAAGAATAGAAACAAATTTCGAAAAATATAAGGAGTTTCTGAGTGAACTTTAAAATGTATCTAATTGCTGAGAAAGCATCTTCGCCTTAGCAGGTTTCATTAGCTGGAACTTTTGCAGTTGGTGAAAACTTATTAAGAGCAATGCGATAAGCCAAAAGTGAGGCCAAAAATAAAACAAAGTCCTGCTGTTTCTACCTGCATTGATCAATCAATAATAAATAAGATAGGTTTTGTTAAAAGTTTGCTTCTATGCTAAGCGATGAATAAGCCGAGCGGGATTCAGTTGACTCAAAAGTTTATGAATCCTGGCCAGCGAGAAGTGGCAGGCAGAACCAACTGGAAGCCATGCTACTGCCCAACTTCATTGTGCCACAAATCTTCATTGATTTTGATTTCTTGCACTGCGTTGTTAAATCGCCTTTTCCAAGAGAGGCAACGTCGAATCGTAAATACTTTTGTTGGACTGCCGCACAACATGACAGGCAAATAAATGGTCATAATCCTGGTCAGACAAAGGGCTGCCTTCACAAAAAGGGCACTTGCCTAGTCTCTCGGCTCCGGCTAATAACTCACTCATACTCTCAGTACGCTGGCAATGTCTGTCTGGGCTAATGTCTAATGGAATCACCAGGAATGGGGTTGGTGGTCTTCTTTTTATGCGATTTGCATTTGATTTATTTATTGTAAATTATACGCCGCATGCAAATTGCTAGCTATACACAAAACAGAAGAAGAAAAAAAATGAAAATAAAGTTGTTGTGCAATGGTTTTCCAAGAAAACGTTTCCAGTTGCGCTAAAATTGCCTCGAAGGCATTTCTGCCGTTGCTCAAATAATAATTCGCTTCAAATTCGAATACGCACGTTTCGTAACAAAAATAATACACACATTCACCGAGTGTACAAGGAAGAAGGCAGCAGCCAAAAAATATTATGTTGCCCGAAGCGCCCACGCAATGGGAAAGCGTCTCTGGCAAACCCTTTGCCCCAGGCACGAACGTAACCCCCTCCCCCCCGCAGCACTCCGTTCTCTCCCCGTCTGGCCATGGGCCCCCCACAGTGGCAAATCAAATAGACGCATGAAATTGAATACTAGCAGAGAGCTGCGTACCATTTTTGACATTTGCCTTTGAAAACAAATGGAAATGAAAATGAAAATGGAAATGGTAATGGTAGTGGCAACTGGGGCAACGCCCGTGCCGCCCAATATTTTGGTGGAAGTAGTAGCTAGGTAGGTTGGTAGGTAGTTTTTCTATTCGGCTTATTTCTATGTTTCCGCCTATTTATTTATTTTAATTAAAACGGACACGTGTTGCTGTTTTCTTGTTTTCATTTGCCAGGGTAACTGTGCGACAAGAAACGCCAAGAAATTCCGTATTCGAAGAAATTGTGGCTAGTGTAACTGAGAGCTGTCTAAACTCTAAATGTGAGCAAATACTTTGGTAGCCTTGGGGACTTGGCAAGTTATTCTAACTCTTTAACGAGCTGGATGGAGTTCTTATATCTTGAGATAAAGCAGAGAGATCAACTATGACTGATATTCTGCATTAATCTACACATTATACAAACTGAGTGACAATATGTTAATTTATACTGATTAATATTTTACAGCTACTGTAGTTTCCAGATAACAATACAAATAGTCGCAAAATTTAATTCTGAAAAATATTTCTATAAATATTTTAGTGTTTATTCAGTAAGTACTATTGGATATGTAAGATGAATGAATAATTATGCATAAATATATAAATAGAAATTTATACATGAAGATTAAATACAGACAGTAGATAAATAAATACTTATGTTGAAAGAAATCTTAAATTCTCAAAAACATTTCTATTTAAATACGATTTTTTTCTTCAATAGGATTAACTGCTACCAGTAGATGCTTATTTTGATAAAATAACATTGTGTTAGTTGGGAGCTCATTGGTTGCATGATCCCATGACAACTGCCATTGAGTAGCAACAAAATGGGCGTGACAATTTATGCTGCACAGACTTCAGCAGCAAAAATTTGCATACCGCCTACTTGCAGAAGCTGTCGATCGAGGCTTTAACAACAGCCAGCCAGCTTAAAATGCCCCTAAGTGGTCTTTGTAAAATTGCACTGGCATCCAATATGCCCCGATCGTAATCGTGTCTAGAAAGTGGCTATGGTTCTTAACGGCCAGTTGCCCTCAAATACAAAAGAAGAAGCTGCTCGCCAGTAGCCGGCTAGTCATCAGAAGGCCGAAAATAGTTCACTGCCTTTGGACCAAGTCTGATTCACGTTGTTGTTGTTCTTCTTCTTTTTTTTTATTGCTGTTGCAGTTGCTGTTGCTGTTGTTGTTGTTGTTACGTTTGCTGTTGCGAGTAATGTTTACTGTTTTGAAGCACTCGCAGCTATTTCCAAAGTGCGTAGCAAATCATAAAAATGGCTACCGAGCGGGCCGCAATAGCCTCAATTGCTCAAGTCGAAGTCAACGGCATTAATTTTATGCAATTAATGGAAATTATATGAAATTATGAGTGGAACATTGAAACATTCCTTGTGAACATCACCCAGGACAACCGATGTAGAACCGAGTTGAACTCAATTTGCAACTTTTGAAGTCTCGGCTTGGGTGGCC